GGTAACGTTACTTACTGTTTTCATTGGGAAAATAAGAATAGTCAAAATAGACCTTATACATGTTCTCATCATCTTCAACACCACTTCATATTCCTAGCTTAGGCATTCTTAGATTCAGCCAACTGCAGATTGAAAATACTGGGGGTGGGGTCGACAATTAAGTAGTCAAAGCAATCTCTCAAAGGCTAAGAGGAAGCGTAAAGGCTGTTTACATAGCATTTAGTTTATATTAGGTATAAGAAACAGATGGTTTAAAGTAGCTTGAAAGTTATGCATAGGTTGTATGCAAATAGACTATTTTATATAGGGGACGTGAGCATCCACAGATTTTGGTATCTGCAGGGAGTCTGAAATTAATTCCCACAGATACTAAGGTAGGTGGATATGGTATGATAACTGTAACTATACCTACGAGGGGGTACCCCCGCAAAATGGATTTTTTTCAAGCCATATAAGTATTTTTTACAAAACAACCTTATCACCTTCAAAGTACTCTCCGTTACACTTAATACATTGGTCAAATCTATGATTCCATTCTTGGAAACATTTTTTCACCCAAATACTTTTAAATTCATCTGTTTGGATGGCTGACAGCATCTCCCTCGTTTTTCCTTCACCTCTTCAAATCGCTGTCCTTTCTTGTCCTCTTCATTTGCGGAAGCAGAAAGTTGGACTCAAGTGAGGTCAGGTGAGAGGCATGCTGTTTTTTGTAAAACTGGCACACAAGTGGCTGCATGACCAGGTACATTGTCGTGGTGGCAAAACTAGTCCCCTGTCTGCCACAAATCAGCCCTCTTTTGCCACACACTGTTACATAATCTTTTCAGAACCTCTAAATAGAAAGTTGATTAGCAGTCTGACCTGCTGGAATGAACTCCAAATGCAGTATCCCCCTCACATCACATACGTTTTTTGAGGAGTACCCCCTCATTTGTATTCTGTCTACATTCTAGTACTTAACAGTGCATCTCAGTCCTCTGCTTCCAAAAGGGCATCACGCCTTTCACTCTGTTTTATTAGATTTTTCTCCCACTGAATCATTCCCAGCAGTTTACATATTTCCTGTTACATAGTCCACCTTAATAAACAGTAACAAAAGCAACATTTTTCTCTTGACCTCATATCTCTATTTTTTATTGCAATTTCCCTTCATATCAAAATGAAGGGAATCATTTTGAAAGGATTGTTTATAGTTACTGTTTCAAATATCACTGGAGATTCTCTTCAAACTACTTGAATCTGGTTTTCTTTTATTTATTTTTTATCTTTTCAGTTTTCCTTCTAGCCCTCCACTGAATTGCTCTCCTCAAGATCACCAGTGACCACCTTGTTCTTAAATCTAGTGATCAACTCTGAGGCCTAGTGTTGAATTACCCAATATGTTAGACAGGGTTCTCTAGAGAAACAAAACCAGGACATTAATAATTATATATATATAGATCTATACATATAGATAACATACAAAATAAACAATCTATAAAGCAGTACAAATGGCTCAGTGCAACTCACTTCTGTGAGACAGCTAATACACTGGCAATCCTTCAGTTCTTGAGGGCCGCCAGGTGGTCTTCTGTAGAGCAATTCAGGCTATCCGGCCACAGGCAGCAAACAGCAAGGCAGGTCAC